TCCTATTGGGACCTAGGAGGACTGCCTGAGCATACTACATAGAGTTGATGCAGGAGGTTACCCTAGAAATTCCTTATAAATTTATTCCAAATGAGCACCACTCAATCTCATTAAAAAGACATCGAAGGGCCACCATTCTAGGTTAAGCTTTGAGCCATGCTCACTACTGGCTGACATAACAACCAACACAGCAGTTCCCATACTGTGATCACCTGGGGGCTCTTAAAATTACTGCCTGGTCCTACTCCCAAAGATTCTGACTTAATTGGTTTCCTGTGTGTCCTGGGCATCAAGATTTTTAAAAGCTCCCCAGGTGATTTTCATGTGCAGCCAGGGTTGAAAACCACTGAGCTAACAGGATCTCGACAGCAACAGGAATTTTCTGAATTGCTTAATTAGCACTCTCCTCCCAAGTGAGGCTTCTGTGTTTTTCACAGGGGATAGTGACCATTTCTTACCCTTCCTTAACCAGTAAGTACAGAGTATCTCCATGAGAAAATTGACAGCCTAGAGGAGAGGACTGCAAAGTAAGTACCTTGGGGCCAAATCTGCCCACTTGCCTGTTCTTATAAATAAAGTTTTGTTGGAACGCAGTCACATCCATTTGTTTACATATTGTCTATAGCTGCTTCCAAACTACAACAGCAGAGTAGTTACAACAGAGACCCTATGGCTGTCAATGCTGAAATTATTATTTACTATCTAGACATGCACAGAAAAAGTTTGCTGACCAATGGTTTACAGTCATAAAGTTGTCAACTGCAGAAGTATCTCCTAAACAAGCTGGGTGTTCTCAAATAGCACAGGGCATTCTATGAAAGGTAGAATCACCTCAAGCAGTAAAAATGACCACATCTGGGGACATATGGACTCTTCTATCCTTTCAGATGGCTGAACTACAATAGCTCCCTCCAATCTAGCAATTTTTCAATAAAAGAGCAAGGGGATCTGGATTTATCAATCGATACCACCTGGGTCTCTATAGAATCCGTTTACAAGGCAAAGATCTTAATTCCGCAGCTAAACTAGAAGTGGATATTTGTGGGATTAATCTGAATTTGTGAGGGAAAGATGAGCTAGGATTGGAAGATAAAGTATTGGAAGTGGAGTGGATTGGGATGATCAGAGAACCCAGAACAACAGGGCAACAACATTGGAATGAGTAGAAAGAAAATCAGTCTGGCAGAGTGAAAGCCTAAGAAGTGAGCTGAGAAGAGGTGAAGCGTGTGCAGAGACCGGCATCTGACCACAGCTAATCTCCAAGGTACCAGTTCTGGTGGTGGGGGCGTCCCTTGTATGCTCAGCCATGCATACTCCAGCAGGTCTCACACTATTTTAATCAATTAGTGACTGCTTTTTCTTATCCTTATTTTAATTTAAGACTGGCTTCCTTTCTCTCAACTATTTGTTTCTCAAGGAATACTATAGCCTAACAACTCTCCCATGGGAGCAGTTTTCTGGCGGTAAAAGAAAGCAGAAATAGAAGAATTCACTTTATTAGAATCAATTCGACTATACTGAATCACCTTAAGGTTTAAAACATTATTGAGGTAGAATTAAGTTTATTGCTTTATTCTACCATAAAAATAACATTTTTATACTTATTAAGTCTGGAGCCTATAAGTGTTTAAAAACCATTTAATTTACTAACTTTTAAGGTTACTTGTTGAGGTTATAGTCAAAACTCAAATGTTTGTTTATAACCTACAAGAACATTATATGTGTGTAGACTTGACTTTGAGATTTCCTTGGAACCTTCAAGATTAATCTTGATCTAAATTCTAGTAATAGATTAATCATCAAGGCTACAAAAAAAGAAGCTTAGAGATAAAACCAAGGAAACAAGTAAATGGCATCATGATCATTCAAAACGACCTATAGAAATGACAGGGGGAAAAAGCACAAACAAAACTTGAATTCTGTACTGAAAGAAACAAAGGAAATTATATTCCAGGAGGCTAAGAAGCCAAAGCATGTCCTCTTCTGCCACCTGAAAGTCAATCAGATCTGTCTGTAGAACACTGGGAAATGAACCCTTGGGGCATCTAGGCATCTATTTGCATAAATTAATATGCATGATTGCCTTTTCTGTTTTGTTTTGTTTTTCCCTTGGCTGAAGGAGAGGAGACAGAAACGATGTGGAGAGTTGGGCGTGGCAGAGAGGTTGTGCATAGGAGCCAGGGGGGAAAGAAAAGCGTGGTGCTGGGAGGAGTAAGGATTCACTATTCACCCTCCAGCCACTGGGACTGGATTTGGCTCTAACAAGGATGGGGAGTGATGGCAAAGAGGGTGAAAGGGGTTGTCTTCAAAAGGAATTCTGTGTGACTCTAGGCGCAAGCATTGCTTCACGAGGGCCCATGTGACAGAGTGAAGCACCGTTGGGAAGAGAGGCATTCTGCCCTCTTCTCAGGAGCCCAGTGCCATTTCACCACCTTGAGGATTCACAGCTTCGGAGGCATTTGGGACATGGCTACCTTGACATGTCCATTTTCAGTCTCCCAATAGGCATCACTGGCAGTTACTGCCCACCATCAACAAGATGAAGCCAGGAAAAACATAGCAGACAGACTGGTTTTTGGAGCACAGGTGAGTCATACCCCAGATGGTCCAAAATTTGGAGATAAGAAGAGCAGAGGAGAGGTTTTGCAGGAAAACCTCCACTCCCACAAAAATAATGCGGGCAATTACAGGAACCCTGGGGTGCTGCTGCTAGTGGAGCTCTGTTCAACTTCCAAGCACTGATGAGGAGGTAGGAGGCCAGGGCATCAGGCTGCATAAGAAGGACGGGCATTTGGCCTACAAGGAAACTGGGAACGGTGCAACCCCACAGAGGCGAGAGGGTAACTCTGAGATTCAAATGTGGTTTGGAAATTGGAACAATCCATTAAAACCTTGGTGACCAGGTAATCTTAGTGTCCCTCCACCGCAAAAATGTGTGGACTCGNAACAATCCATTAAAACCTTGGTGACCAGGTAATCTTAGTGTCCCTCCACCGCACAAATGTGTGGACTCGAATTTGAAAACTGCTTCACTCTTCCCCATGCCTCTACCTCTTTCTGTTCATCTTTTAGCTTTGTCTAACCCTACGTACTCACTGCTTAACTCTCCGTACGGGGTCCATTANGCTTTGCCATGATAAACTGTCTAACCCTACGTACTCACTGTTTAACTCTCCGTACAGGGTCTGTTTCCCAAAGAGGAGAGTGACAGGACCGATTCCCCATTCTCTCCCAGAGGCAGAGCTCTCGTGCCAGCCTGCCTCACAGGCTTCTTGCCAGCCTACAACTGAGTGTCAGTAAGTCAGCTGCCCACCCTGATAAAGTCAGCTGTGACCAGGGTGGAAAGGTGACTTGACAGTAAATGAGGACTTGGCAAAAAAGAAATCCCTAAAAAGGCAATGGGAAGGTAACAGTTATTGGGGCTGTTCACAAATATACCCATTCTCCTGGGCACAGGGCAGGATCACACATCCAGCATCCACAGTGACCACATCACTTGCTTTGAGTGGGACTGACATGTCACATCCAGGTGAACATTTCTGTGGCCCTTGTATGATTCATCATGTTCTCTTAACCCTGTTACAGCTGTGGAAGTAACCGCTGATGGAGTCTGTGTTAGCTGGGCCCCTGAGTGCCTGTACTAAGCAGAAACTATAAAGTTTAGAGGTGAGAGCAGGAGGAATAATGTTTATTACTATTGATCTAACTCTGTATTTATCTCTTGAAAACAAGGGATATATTTACATCAGAAAATACATTTGAACCTTTGTCCCCCAAAAAACTTTATAGGACACAATATATTATAAGGCGTTTCTTATTGTTTTTATCTTAAAGGATTTTGAGTAAGTAAATTCTTTTTGCTTCCATTCAACATGAATCTGACACATAGCAAATTATATTTTGTGGCAAATAAGATTATAGACATTTCCATTATGTAATGACTGTAGCATAATCTAGAAGTTTAAATCTCCTTCAGAGAGTATACAACATAGAGATGTAAATTCTTTTCGTCGCAATTCTGCATAAATAGGCTTTCTGCACTGCATTGCCAAACTTGGATCTTGAAAGTGATAAAGTGCAGATGTCTACAGTTGCAATCATAAAAACGTAATTGCTGAGAAAAAATATTTCTGATCCGTTGGAGGAATTTATTACAGAGGGATGCAACTTTGTAAGTTATCACACAGAGAAAATGAAAGCAAATGATTGAAATATATCCCAGGCTGAACATCCCTGCAGAATGACCTAGTGATTTACCTGTGCCGAGGAGAAAAAAAAAATAGATTAGAAATAAATCAAGTTTGGTGGGGAAGGCTCTGGTAACTATAAAAAGAGCAGAAAAAAGATTTACGAATAAATGAATTTAGAAGTCAGAGTGACATAATAATATCTATGACCAATTACTCCAAAAATTAAAATGTAATTTTGACTTTGAGTTATACACAGAGGTGGTAAGTAATATCTGTGAAACCCTGAAAGCAAAGGAATATAAAATGAAGATAAATAATGAGGAAAGGTGGGAATTTTTTTAATGGGGCTACTAAATTGATAACTTTATCTGGTGGCACTATGCACTTAAAGATCATGAACTTCTTTTGCAATGTTTTCCAATATAATCAGAGACTATATTACATATGTAGGTACTGTGGAAACTACATATACATACAGGGTATCCCAAAGAAATATAGACACACTTTAACAGCTGATAGCTCAATTTTGAAAAAGAAATATATTTTAATAAACACTGCCTTTATAATTACTCCAAGTGTGTGTATACATTTTGGGGGATAGCCTATATTATTATTGCTGTTGCTTTTAAAAGAGAATCGGGGGAGAGAGGGCTTTCAGAATTGTATTATTATTACCAAATACATACTTTTTTTACATTTTAACAATACTTTAAAAGGACAATTTTAGATAACATACTCAGTATCTATTTTTCCCACATTTTTTAATTCTTCTGCAGTTACTACACATTGTAATTTCCATGCTGTTAATACCTGGATTATGAGAGGCTCCAGCAGCTTCTCTACAGTGAATGTTTGGACCTGCAGGTCCTGGGGATCAATGTTCAGTGTGACTGGTGTTTCAGCTGACATGCTGCCTGTGCACAAAACAAAACACATTTATTAATTTTAAAAAAATAGGTTCTAAAGGAAGGCACTAATTAAAGTCATAGAGTGCATGAGATTTCGGGACCTCTTCCTGATGTCAGCTGTAGCCCTCCGAGGACCAAGGTGTCAAGCCCACCAACAGAGGAATGAGATATTCTCCAAGTGTTCTTTGAGGTCGTGCTGTCTGAGCTTATGTCCTCTAACAAATTAATCTGTGCTCACATATTCATGACTAAAATAATCACTCAGCCCAGGTGGCTTTGCATTTGATGAGGCGTATAGCACCAAAACACTCTCTAGTCAACTCAGGAAATCCTAATAAGCAATATGAAGTAAGGGAGAAAGGACAATTTATGTGTTGCGTGTCCTGGGATCACTCCATCCATGTTTTCAAATACCTATAATATATTTACTTACTCATCTACTAAAAACTAGCGTAAATGTTGAGAGCTTTATATGAAACCCAATAGCATTGTTGATTGCAAAGACAGAGTACACTTTGTAAAATGTAGCATATTTCTAGGTAGTTTAGTTGAATACAAGCCAAATTTCTTTACACTTCAAATATTTTTACTTTTTAAAGCTATTTTTGCCTTTAAAAATTGTTATTCAAGTTGTATTACGTGAAAAAATATTATTTGAATATCTTTTCAAATGAAAGTATAAATTACTATTATCATCCTGTGATATGTCAATATAGGAAGACACAAATCCTATGGTTTAGCCCTTTACTATCTTGCTTCTCTCCTTTTCACAGGTCTTACTTCCTTTCTAAAGTAAAAACACAATTTCTTTTCTCAGCCATTCATCTGAAATGCAGGAGATATGCTCCAAGAAAGGCTCCCAACGCTATTACCAATGGTTTCTCTTAAATGCATTTGTAGGACTGAAATGTTTTGTTTCAGTCAGGTTTTTCATTTTGGTTTTGTTTTTTTCCAATCATTCCATCTACCACTTTAATTCCCTCTAACACAGGCAAATCTAAATTGACAGATAGGATATTCCCATGGTGACCTTTGTGCATAGCTGAGAGCCAATCTATACAATAAAATATGTCCTTCAGTTCCATAACCACTAGGGTTCTATTAAATGTGTACTCGCAACAGGGTTTACTTGCTACCCTCTCATGACAGGTACTGTCCTACATATAAATCAAGTCAGGGTTGCTGATACTGCTTTGTTCTTTCATCTCAGGGACAAGAAGTAGAGGACACTGTTATGAACTAAAATAAGATCTAAGTGAACCTTCACAGCCTTTAAAAACATGTCCTTTCACTGCAAAATTCGCCCAGGGTTTTCAAAGCTACATGGAGCTCCATAATTAGAGACAAGGAAAATAAAAAATTAAGAAGAGCAAAAATTATCCACATCATATGTAATCCTGCTTTAAGAGTGTTTTTCAACCAACAGATAAAAGACAAACCTAATTTGGCCAAATTATCTCCTAATTGTGTGATCCTGTCTTTAATACACACTAAGTAAAGAGAGTTGTTGAGTTCATTTTTTCATGCCAAAAAATGTAAAATAATAAACCAACAAGTCCTTAAAGAACCTTGGCTACATATAATTATTACTTGAATAATGCTGTTTCTTATTTTTAAAAATCTTCTGGGTCTTTTGGATGTAAAAACCCTGATTTATTGCAGATCAGGGCAATAATAGGCAGAAAACTGCAGAATTTTGCAAATGAAGTCAAAGCAAGGTCAAAGTCTGACAAATTGTTAGCAACCTCTTGTAGAAATACTACAAAGTGGGTCCAAAACAAAAATCCTACTAACCTGCAAGTATTACATTCCAAGGCATTTACATTTTATAATCCATAAAATCTTAAGAGTTAGGTAATACCTCCCAGACAACTCAAGAATACCTTCTATAATATCCTTCATTTCAACAATGTACTGGGCTTAGATAGTTGAACAGAAATGATGAGATGCTCACTATACCACTAGATGCCAGTGATTATTTTAATAAAGATCTTCCTGATGTTGAGTTAAATCTGCCTCTTTTGAACTTCTATCCAACAGAGATGGTTTTATAAAGTGGAAAAGGTACAGGTTTGGAGACAGACAGACTAGATTAAAATACCAGTATTCATGAGAGTCATCTGGATCTCATCTGATGAAACTCTAGTGAGTGAAATATAAAGGCGAAATGTCCCCACCATCATCACAAATGTTAATCTTATCTAATACTGGACACTTTCAAAATATCAGAAGAAAGGGTGAGCAACTAATAAAAGATTTTCAAGTACTGAAACAATGTCCTAAAAGGGAGCATTTATTTTCACTGTCATTAAAATTTTGAGTGTATAACAAAACTTTGTAAAACTCACTCTTCCTCATTGGTCCCCTTCAGAAAGGTTATCATAATTCAGTTAGGAACATTGTGAAGGACTGGAACCAAAGGTTAATTGACAAAAATAAAATCTAAATTTTAATAAACAAGTTTAAGTAAAGAAAAGTAAAAAGGGGACACGGGGGATTTGCTGCACAATATTATCACAGTTGATTTTATACAAGTCAGTCTTGGCTAGAGTGAAGTAAAATGGAAAGAGGACAAGTATAATAAAAAAATTTCTACTACAATCTCTACATGCACCTGTTTTTCCAAGCCCAGCTCCATCACACCCTATCCCCAGCTCCCTGCATCCAATGAAATCACTTGCTGGCTTGTTTGACCCACCAAGAAATACAAACATCCTTCACTTACTCGGTCAACAAAAGGATCTGAGGTTTCTGAGAAAGTCAATAAAATCAGGCAATTGCCTAATATATATATAATGAAGAAATTGTTTTCTTTCTTTCTTTTCAGATCTTTTTTCTTATACTTTGTAAATACTTTCCATGCATTTATTTGGAGATCAATAATCTGTATAAGCTCTTCTACCTACCCTTTGAGTCACCTATAAAAGAAAAATGGTGTGAGATCAGAGGCACCCCTAGACTGTCAGGCATCATTCATTTATTCGTTCAGTTTATATTTATTGGGTTTCTAGTTTGCGGCAGTCATGAGGAGGGAAAGACCAAAAGCATAATAGAAAGAAAATTGTTTAGTACATTAGAAAATGACATGCTATGAAAAAAAGATTAAAATGAAACACAGAAGTGGGATTAGGTGATAGAGAAATTGGGAGCAGATTGCATTGTTAAATAAGACCAAGATTAGCATCACTGAGAAGGGGGCATTTGAGCAAAAACTTGAAGAGCTGAGGAAATGAGCCAAATAGACACCTGGGAGAAGAGCATTCCAGGCAGAGAAACAGAGCAAGATCCTTCAGACAGGAGAGTGCTGGCGTGTGTGTGGAACAGCAAGGTAGCCAGTGTAAATGGAGTGGAGTGAGCTACGCAGAGCTTCGTACCAGAGATCAGGAAGGTAGGGGGGGGTGGCTGCCCATCATGGTGAGCTCAGTGGAAATTACTGCATGGGTTTGAGCACTAAGAAACATGGTCTGGTTTATTCTGGAAGGATCACTTCAGGAAGAAAAAAAAAAGAAGGGAGGGAGGGCAGAAGAAGAGGAAGTATGGGGTTGGGGGCAAGGGCAGAAGCAGGTTCTTATTTAACCCATTGAAGATTAAATAAGAAAATCCATATGAAACCCATAACTTAGCCCATATCCCTGACACCTACCAATGGCTCAACAGATATTAGCTGATCCTATTATTCCCTTTTCAGTAGAAGAGCAGCATCTACCATCTGCATTTAACATAAGCATGTCTCTATCATCCACAGAGCTTGTAATCACTATTCAAAACTGTTTCCACTCTTTGTTCTCATAACAAAAGAGTTTAAAACAAAGCTTCCCTCTGGTGCCTCATTTTATAGGATCTCTTGGCTTCGAATTCTAAATGCCACATGCCTAGATGCTCCTTTTCAAAAATTCCTACTGCTCAAAAGCCTCATAAAGGATCTTGAGCCCCTTGAGATCAATTCAAGAGTGGCACGTAGAAGTTATGCTCCAGGGTTAGGGCTGCAACTGTTAAATGTGCTACAATGCACTACATGTCTCCTTCCCAAGAGTCTGCAGTTTTTATTTCCTTAGCTCCCATGAATTCTAGGTTTTGACAGAACAAAACGTTATACTTTACAATAAAAAGTGTCTTTAGCACCTTGTAATTCAAACTTTAGAAAGCTTCTTGGAAGCATTTAAAGTTCTCTTTATTAAGGCTTTATTTAGTCGTCTAATTGAAGTTCTTTGAGAAATAATCAAGTTAAGCCCCTACCCTCCCCCCCAAAAAAAATAGGTTTTATGTATTCTGTATGGGAAGAAACAAACAAAATTAAATTACATTAAAACATGTGCTTACTCTAGCCATAGTAACCAAAATAAAACTTGCTTCCCCACACATATAACCTGGATGAAAGCTGCAAAAAAAAAAAAAATTTTTAATCTGAAAGATTGCTTTAAGCAATAAGAAATAAACAAAGAAAGCAGATTCTACTTATGTTTAGGTTTTACATTATGTCCCTGTGATCATGAATGGCTGGTCAAGTCTAATTTCCCTCCAAAATAAAGAAAGCAAAAAGTTATAATTCAACTTACGATTTAACTGAAAAATAACACTGTATATAAGAATCTTACAAGATGACCTCATTACACTTTTCCTGATAACACATCCTTCATGTTATTTTATAAAATGCCAGTTCACACTAAAAGCTCAGCCTATATTTCACAATGCCACACATTTTCAAAATTGCAGCTAGGTAGAAAGGACAGAAATGCCCCGTGATTATTCTGGGTAGCAATGCCTTCCAACTTAATTTTGTAAAATCCATATAAAAATTATACCTGAATCTAGACCCTATGCGATCCCATCTCATATAAGCCCAGCATAAAAGTTGCCTACATATTATTTTAAAAGCCAAAGAACTAAATTAGTCCAGTTGAAATCTAAGAAGATAATATAATATATAAGACCTCAGAGAAGCTTTTATTAAATCACTCAGAACAAGAATAACCTTCAGCTACAAGGCATCAAGTTTAAGCAACAAGGGCAGAAGTAACATGCCCTTCATATACACCTTGAAAGCGACGGTGGCTTTGGTTGCTGCAAATCCATTGGGCCTGTGGGTCAGCTCCACTCCATATTATTATAAGACAGCTCAAGTAGAAAAGAATTCTCCTAAGGTCTGTTATTTTTTTGAAAGGTAGTGAACAAAAAAGAGAATGGTAAAGAAAGTGCAATTTTAGTCAACTGCAATTTGACACCAAAAATCTCCTCTTTCTTCTTTGTTCTCTGGTTAGCTGGAAATAAATAAGAGCCTGCTTATCAGAATAAAGAAAATGAAACCAAAGTCTCTGAAAACACTAAGTTCATCTATCTCCCTTCCTTCCTTCCTTCCTTCCTTCCTTCCTTCCTTCCTTCCTTCCTTCCTTCCTTCCTTCCTTCCTTCCTTCCGAGGCCCCACACTCCTGGGGGGCAGGAGTTTTGCAGCGGACACCCCTCTGGCTTCTCAGCCCCAGCAGGTGGGGGGCGGGGGCCAATCCTGTCCGTGTCTCCCCCATCCTTACCAGTCTCTATTTGGCTTCTGTAAATCCTTGGTTACAACATTTCAGTTCAGGTAGCCATCAGTTGGTTATTCAGGTTGATTGCTCTATAACTTAGCTATGAATCTGGTTTGGGGCCTGAAGCAGGTGAATATAGCTTCTACCTACTCTGCAGCCATCTTAGAGGGGAAAAAAACACTAAATTCATTTTTCTATAAATATACTCCTACACTTGGGAAAACTGATAGCATGTGACTATTTGGAGAAGTTCGGCTTCTTCTCTGCCTCCTGGTTTTCCATTTTCCATACTCCTTGAAAAGAGTTTTTAAAAGTCTGCACCAGACTCTTTCAATCTAACCATCTAAGTTCTATTTTTTAAAAGTTTCTCCAGGAACTGTGGTGGCATACCTATTAACCCTACTTATCTCTCATGCCACGTGCTAACTGTTCTCTGAACAGGAAATACAAGACGTCTCTGGCTTTAAAACACTGCTTTCATGCCTCTCCCCTACTCTTCTGACCATTCTTTCCCAGTATCTTTTGCTGGCTCCTCCTTACCTACTACCTTTGTTAAGTAGGCCCTTGCCAGGGTGCAGTCCCTTACATCCCAGCCTCTCCTCACATTGCCTTGTTCTCTCATCCTGGGGTCTCCGTTCTACAGAGAGCTTCTGGTTCACAAAACTTTACCCACAGTCCAGACCTCTCACCTGAGCTTCAGAGCCCCAAATCCATTGGCCACTGGGCCATCTCACAGGTACCACTAAACTGAATTCATGGTCTTTTCCTTAAAGCCTGTGGCCACCATCTTCAGTTCTGATCTAGATTAATGATATCACCGTATAGCTGGGCACCCAACCCAGCAACTGGAATGTCATTCTAGAATATTCTCACATTGCTTCTACCCCCTTCCTCTTTCTCTCCACTCCTACTGCTACCTCCTTAGTTCAGACCCTCAGTGACTTACTTAGACTTTGCAGCGATAGCCCTGACTGGTCTCCCTTCTTTTAGATTTTCACTCCTCTAATTTGTTCTTCAAATTAATCCCAAAATCATCTCTCTAATATAAAATAAGATAGTGTTACACTAATTCCCTGCTTAAAACACTTAATGATTTTCCATTATGACACAATAAATTCAGGCTCCACTAAATGACTCAAAGTAATTTGATCTGTCCTATCTCTCCAGCTTTCTCCCTCTCTCTCCCACTTCCTCTCTCTCTAAAAATCAATGTTAAATAATAATATTCTCTCCCCAGGTTTCAACCTGTGTGTACTGGTTATCCTCGATATCATCCCACGCATCTGATGTGTTATCTATTCAATTTATAATTTTTTTCTGGCAAGAACTCTAAGCCAACCCACATGTGTATTTACAGTACAAGACAACAAAAATAAAAGCTTTCAGTATTTTCTTTGATATTGTACTGCTTTAAAAAATAATAATGATTTCTTATTAATCTTATTTTTTAACAATGGGATAAAAAGGAGCCAAATGATTGTCCCTGAATTATCATGTTATTACTTGAAGATATCACTGAAGATCTTTAGTAAAATTTTAACTGCTACATTGTTGTCTTTTTTCCTATACTATTGAGTGAAAGCACTGAGTTTCTAAGCTATTCACTTACACAAGCTGGATTTAATATGGTGCACAGCACGGAGCCCAGAGTGTTCAACACAGTAGTTGTTTTCTGAGTATATGAAGATCAAAATACGTTAAGAAATCCCGCCTCTGAATTCTTTCCTCCTACCCAACAACTTTATTCCCAGTTAGACTGATCCAGTTAATTTCAACCTAACAGAAGCTAAAATTCAAGTTAAATTTATCACTTGATGGAAAGAGTGAAAGGAAGAATCAAATTTAATCTCATTTACAACAATCTAATAGAAAAAAATACTAGAACTAGATTCATACAAAATTACTAAATATATTTTGTTCTGAACATTGGCTTGATAATGTCCATTCTAACATGTAGATATTTGACCTTATTTAGATAAATTCTTGCTGTTTCCAAAAAACTAAACCTCTTTATTCTTTCTTCTTAATTGAGTAATAGGCCAATTTTTTTTTTTCTGTCCTAGAAAACTTAGAGCCACACTTGTGACCACATAAATAAGTGTGTGGGTTGAAAGGGCAACAGTTCTCCACTTTTTTTTTTTTTCATCAAAACACAAGTGACATTTAAAGTGTACTCAGTATTCACTGCCCAACATATTCTCACTCTGGCCTGCCACCCTCGGTAAGGGAGAGAGCTGGTTTGTATGAAATTCCCCCCTAAGGTTTCTGCGGCCCTGTATTTTCTCTCCCATCAACCCAATAATACACCCAGTGGCACAAAATCATCGTCGAGAGCTGCTGGATTTTTTGCCTTTTCCTGGCTCTGTTTTATACTCTCATGTTTGTTTTTCTTTCTTCTTGTATTTCATTTTTAATTTATCCTATCTTCAGTTTCATATAGCCTTATAAGTCATCTTAAATCCTTTCCAGAACAAGGTAAGGAATAAATAAATAATCATTCCATGAATCTGCAAAAGCAATCTCTTCTCGTTTATCCTAGATAAAGCCTTAAAACTTTAACTCTTTGCTGCCTCTTAACCATTACCTACCATATTAAACATACAAGTATTAAAATCTACAACTTTCTTGGAGTTTGTTGGGGCTTTTTGTTTGGTTGGTTGGTTTTGGTTTTTTTGTTTGTTGGTTTGTTGCTTTTTGCTTTTATCAATTCTCTGTTTAAAAATATTTAAGGCTGCATACAAAAAATACAGGAAAAGTATACATGCACAATTTAAGGTTAGAGGCCCATAATAGAAATTAAATTGTTTGCACAAAGAACCTGCTTTGCTGCACAAGTTTTACACCTAAAGAATGCAAAGCTTCCAGTGTCTTGCATAGTTACTCAAATAGTAATAGCTCAGCTACACTGTAGGAATTTTTAAATGCTGTGATGTAAGACTACGATAGCTTGGGCCTTGGCACACGAGAATTTGTTTTAGTACTATTTTTAAAACCACTAATAAATACTCCAAAGAGCAGAATTGAGCCTCTGCTCAATTGAGAGTGCGTGAGTTGTTGTGAAAGATGAAATTTGCAAGAGAACCACACTTTTATCTAAATCTGAAATTCCTGCTAATCTATTCAGAAAAGTAGATATTTATAAAATTGGAGCTTTCATAAAGTAGTTTAGAGTTTAGTGTTATTAAAAGAAAAATTAGTTATAAAAGTGATAAATGCACAGCACAGCAGTTTCTATTCACCCCATTTTATAGAAATAATATCCTTTCATTTCCCCAAAGTTATCTAACCAAAGCAACAGATAATCTATAATTATTAGGATATGTCTTACAGCAAAGTTTGATTTTAGAAAGTTTGACACTCACTCACCTACTGCAGGACAGAGTATTGCCCATATACAGACACTAAACCAATTGTCTAAGCAATTTCTTATGTTTAGAAATTCAGTGCCACTATTATGGCTCACAATTTGGCTTATGATGCATCTGTTAGCAAACAGCCTGACAAGCACCCTAGTGTATTTCAGGATGACTGACAGGACACAGTGGCTCGAGCGGGAAGCGGGGGATGGGTGCCCTTAAAGCAACACAGCCGGTGAAGGGCGACATCAAACAGTAGAATCAGACTAGAAATTATATTTTTCAAATTTGCAATAAAATAATCACATGTTCCAGTATGAGCTTTTAAACATAACTTTTGTGTGCACTATGTGTCTAAAATCTTATAAATTCCAAAAGGGGCTTTAAGAATTTTAAGAGTGGAAAGAAAGTATTTAAAAACAAGTATGAAATGTGATACTTCCCTGAACTTAGCAAACTTCTAAATTACTTTAGAATATTCCAATTATTTTTAATATAAACTAAGTCAGGATACCCAGGAAAAAAAGCTCTTATCTCCCCACTAGATATTTGCCAATTACTCTTACAAAAGGAATTTAACTGATGACAGTGATTTAAACATCTTGAATTAATCAGAGTTGTTATTGAAGACAGGGGCAGAAGACCCAGGTATTTTGCCTCCTGCTGTGTTCCTTTTCTATGGCCTACATCATGGTTAAAAAGTAGATCAAAAGATTAGGAAATTTCATTTATGGGCATTTCCATATTAGTTTTGCTTCAAAAATTATTTAAGTGATACGTTAGGTTCATTCTTCACATTTATAACTTCTCCAATATTATTTCACAATGCTGTGTGCTACTCAAATCCTTCCCTTCAGCAATCAACCCTATTAAAAAAGTACCAATAAAAACTTAAAAAAAAACTCCTATTAAAAAAGTAAAAGCCGCTTGTTCTCAAACACAATGCCTCATTTAGCCAGCAGAGGGCATCATTTGATCCTAAAAGCCCACAATATTGTATTCATTGACATTTTTTTTTTTTTTAACTTGAACTAGGAACTGGGACACACCATCTCAATTTTCCTTATTAAATGTGTTTAGAAACATCTCATTTTATTTTGTCCATATAAGCTTCATTTATAAAGTCCATATTGGTGTTTAATAGGTCTCATCTGTGACAGTCTACGGTTATTTCTATCTCCATCAGCTCATCAGATGCATCCTCAGTGTAGTGAAAGAAAAGCACTAGAAGGCTAAGAAGTAGCAGAGTTGGGTTTAATCATAAGTATGACTTTCCACAACCCCAAAGTTTTCTAGGACAAAAAAGCAAACAAGCAAAATCCCTACAAAGATTCCAAGCCTCATTAGATAATCCAAAACACATTCAAAAAAAAAAATAGAACTACACTATAAAACAAAATAATTTCTCCTCAAAATTATATATGACATTTGTAAATTCTTTAATATTTTCTAATTGCCCTGTTTAATATTTGTTAATTGCCTGATACATATTAGGAGCTACAGGCTAAATTTGGAAGACATGTTTCCTGTTATCACATCATTATTGCATTTCTCATGAGCATGCAATTTTGCGACTAACAAAGTCCTCAGACAAGCTACAAATTCTTTATTTTACAACTTAACACCCACTTCAGTTTGGAAAAGCATGAACATTGATTTGCCTGGTTTACTCTAAAAATAAAAATTTTACTGTGTTAGCCAAAATCATTAACTATCACAAATATATCTTGGCTGAAGATAAAAAAAAAGTCCTATGTTTCTCTGAATCTGTTATCACAAACATCAAGTTTACTCAGTTCACTACTGAAAAATTAAAACAGACCTAAAGGCTCAAAAAGTGATCCCTCTTTACATGCTCCCAGCCTTGCCAGTAATGACACATTCTTTATGCTAAAGGATCAACTTTTCCAAAGAAAAAAGGAATAATAATTCTCCTCCTCAACTGTGATTCAAAATAGAAAGTTAAAGCTTGTTTTCCTTACCAAAAAAAAATCCTATTTCTGATAATGAAAGCAAGGTTTGGGTTCTTGAATGTGGAAATTTCTTTCCCCATAAAATCAGAAATGGTACTTATGTAAAAATCATATTTTACATCTGAAAATAAATTATAACATCTCTTCAATTGTTATTAACTCTTTCCAAAAATTTGGTATCCTTAATTTTCTAAACTACTATAGTCTCTATAAGATAAAACAGATACTTAGAATTATTTCTCAAATTAACTTATGAGACAAGTACCCAGAAGAAAACCAAAAAGTCAGTTTTTCCAGTAATTTGCTTATCCCTTTTGCCAATCTCCCACACATTTTAGAATACACAGATAACTATTTTTTTTTCCCCTGCTTTCATCTAATCACTTAATTCCACTTTACTTTCCAATTCTGGATTTGGTTCCTGAACTGTGTCTCATTCAGTGATTTTTGGTTTCTCCAGGTAACTTAAGAGCCTACATCTAAAGGCACTTTTAGTCTCAGTTCTATTTGTGGCTACGAAAACTTTTTAAACAATAATGCTTTATGGGGGAGTGGAGATTAAATAACCAGTAATAGATACTACTTATTTAAAATAACCCTTTTTACTTTTAGCAAAAGTGCCTCCATACATCTTATGCTATATTTGAATTTTCAACACTCTTGTTATAGATTTCATTTTCTCTTGAAAACAACTTATTTCCTTCCTATACTATTGTAATCGGCTCATAACAGATCATGTTCGCACCAATGAGCAGGTCTGGAGTAAGCCCTGACTCTGACGTACCTTAGGTATGACAACTTTGAGGCGTGAGTGGCATGTGCTAATGGGTTACGTCCCATGGGCGACTGAAAAGTCAGAATGCTCGCGCTCAGGGACAAATCAAGCCTAACGGAGATATGCTGGCCATGCGCCCGTGTTCGCCCTAAACCACGAGGCTAGCTGAGCCTCCCAAAGCTGAGAGTGGAGGGAGATAAGGCACCAAAGATCGTACTTTGCGAAACAAGTACCCTTTAGGGGTCGGAGGAAAAGGGAAGTCATAAGGGTAGGCAGAAACACAGGCCAGACGGTTCAGATTCAGGCTCTACTTTATATTGCTTGGCCTTGTCCACGGTGACCCCCTATTACCCTCTTGCTCATGTTGTGAAATAAAGTTGCTATAAAGAGTAATGAATTACTTATAAAATTACCCACGGAATCTAATGAAATGCTAATTACAGTGCTAAATAGTTCGCTAATCAATTTATGTTATTTTGTGGAAAGACAATTTTCCCTTTGTGAAATTCCCCTTTTCCAAATGCCATTGAATTTTAGAAGGCTGCTATGAGAGATATCACACGGACTGCCCACCTGATTTAAAAATGGGTAAAGAGTCACTGAGTTCACATATTTTTATATAGCAAATTGAATCCATTTCACCAAGGAAAGTCATCTACCCCGCCCATGATAATAATTTATAATTAGGGAGCAAGGAAACATGGCCCTAAAGTGGAAGAGTTTATAAACGGCTGCCAAAGTTGCAACAAATGCTTAACAGAGAAAATGAAAGACACACTAACACGTATTAGTAGACCGTGTATGTGTATTTAGAGGATTGGGTAGGGGATGGTTAAAGGGTAGGACACAGAAATAAAAGCAAAAGAATCACAATAAGTAAAAATAGAAACCTCTGGAGTCTAGTTCCCACATTAGACTGTGGAGTTGCGCCAGCCTGCTTCACTCCAGAGCAAAGAGCCAGTCGGTAGCTGAGGCTACGTTAGAGAGAGGAAGGAAATCCTTTCTCCCACTGTTTCCAAAGATAATAAAAGAAAACAAGCAAGTGGTGCATTTCACTACCAAGTACCATGTTTATTTCACTCATGCCCCACTCACGCTCTAAAAGTCAAGCCTACTAATTTTGCATTATAGAGCAAAAGAAATATACAAACAAATACAAAAAAATTAATTTTGCAAACATCATTCCTAAATTTTCCAAAAAATAACTGTTATAGTCACTAAATTTTCTTATTTTTTTTTAAATATGTCTTTATCGATTTCAGAAAGAGGAAGGGAGAGAGAGAGAAACATCAATGATGAGAGAGTCACTGATCGGCTGCCTCCTGCACGCCCCCGACTGAGGATGGAGCCCACAGCCCGGGCATGTGCCCTGAGCAGGAATCGAACCCCAATCTCCTGGATCATAGGTCGATGCTCAATCACTGAGTCATGCCTGGCTGGGCTAAATTTAAACTATAATATCATTCTTGTCAAGTTATCAATCGTACAGAAAAGAATGAAGCTCATCACAGAGTAAAGTAAAATAATTTAACTCAGTCATTGACATAGTGAATCACATTCCTTCATCTCTAAACAATAACCCTGCTCAATGGCCTGAGCAACCCCCACACATACCCCAGTCATCCCACTTTTTTTCTTCTGAGTCTTGAGTATTCAGAATTAGATTCACACGATCAATCACGCTCCCTAGTTAAGCTGAACTGATGGAACTGGTCCATGGAAAGCCTGTTTTACTGTATTTTTTGTTGTGATATGTCGTATCCCCCAGCCTCAGTTCCACTTCCCTCCTCCCTTTCTACAGGCATGCACTCTGTAGTAGTTAATGGGTGTCTTTCCAATCAACTTTACATAATTTTTTTACATATGATATATATCTTTACAATGATATAGAGCTTTATGTGTGTCTGGATTTTTAAATTTACACGAACAGTATTGCATTTCCCATCTCTGTCTCTCTCCACGATGTTTTCCTGGTCTCTCGATATTAAACTATATATAGACACGGCAAAGCCCACAGGTCAGCTCACACCACACATGGTCCCAGCCCGGCTCCCTCGCCTTCCACGGCTATGGGAGCAGAGGGCCAGCTTTCAGCCTTCTCTGCAACTCTGACTGACGTGGGACAGAATTCTGGCCAATGAGATGTCAGCGGAAATCCGCTGAGGAGGGTTCTGGACAAACTTTTACTTTCCTTATAAAAGGAGTTACAATATTGCCACGATCCTTGGCCCTTCCTTCCACCATCTGCGGTGTGATGCAGGGACATAAAACCAGTTTTGCTGCAAAGATGGCAGAGCAGAACTACTGAACGAGCTTGGGTCCTTGATGGCATCAGCT